TCCGTGCTCGCAGCTGTGGCACGCCGATGCCGTTCACCTCGCAGGTGCCTGTCCAGAACTCGGAGTCCGGTCGAGGAGACGTTGCTTGCATGTTGGGTTGTGATGGCCATTTGGGGCAAAATTACGATTAAAATGTACTTACTAGAAGCAGCGAGCAGTATTGTTGACTTGTATATATTCCTAGTTCCGCAAACGTTCACCATAAGATTCTGAAGATTGGTCGTCGCATGCTTGCCGCACGTGCCTTGCAGTGGTGCAGTGGTGCTGTTTGCTTTGAGGATACACGCTTGGCCGCGAGTACCCGTGCATGGGCAATGGCTCCATGCTGAGCAGCATTCTGGCTCCCGTTGGCGTGAGCCTGACTTTCTGCGTGATCGTGGGCAAGTCCCTCCACATGTTCGGCAAGTGAGCCTGCTGTGGGGCCCGGGATCCAATCCGGGCTACCATTTCGAGGCCGTGCCGTTGAGTCCGCTCAAGCAAGTTCACGCGTGGGCTGCGATGTACAGTGCCCTTATACTCGCCACAAAATTCGTGGCCATCATACAGAGCCATGAACACCCACCTGCGGTGCCCCCTGTTTGCTACCCATGTTGGCAACAGGTCGGGGTGCGCAGTGGCACGCCCCGCCATAGGGTGTGGGCGTGTCTCAACCCATGCGATTCATGCGATCCGTACTTTGCCTCGTCGACGCGAGAGCACAAAGCATGCCTGAGGGGAGCTGGATGACAGCGTTGCGTTAAGGCACCTGATGACACACTGGCACATGATTTGAAGACGGAATGGTTTGATTCCTGCATGCCGGCTCAATGTGATACAAGAGTGGACGCAGCTGCTGCACAGTAGCCCTAGAAAGCTTTGCATAGACTACTTTCCGACCCCGGTCAGAATGCAGCAGCCAGGACTGATGTTGGCATGGTACGATGTATGCGCGAAGTGCATTGATGCGTGGTGTAAAGTGTAAACAGTGTAAAGTTGCGAGTGGTGCCTGGTGCAGGACAGCAGGTGACCGAACTCGCCATGCAGAACTCTGTGAGTGCTGTGGTGGCTCGCATCCGCGCTCGCAGCTGTGGCACGCCGATGCCGTTCACCTCGCAGGTGCCTGTCCAGAACTCGGAGTCCGGTCGAGGAGACGTTGCTTGCATGTGGGGTTCTGATGAATGTGATCTACCTAGTATAGAGAAGAGTGCTTTTGACTTGTCTATCTTCCTAGTTCCGCAAATATTCACCATAAGATTCTGAAGATTGGTCGTCGCATGTTTGCAGCACGTGCCTTGCAGTGGTGCTTTATTGCTTTGAGGATACACGCTTGGCCGCGAGTACCCGTGCATGGGCAATGGCTCCATGCTGAGCAGCATTCTGGCTCCCGTTGGCGTGAGCCTGACTTTCTGCGTGATCGTGGGCAAGTCCCTCCACATGTTCGGCAAGTGAGCCTGCTGTGGCATCTTTTGGGGGCCTCGGAACCAATCCGGGCTACCATGTCGAGGCCATGCCGTTGAGTCCGCTCAAGCAAGTTCACGCGTGGGCTGCGATGTACAGCGCCCTTATACTCGCCACAAAATTCATGGCCATCATACAGAGCCATGAACACCCACCTGCGGTGCCCCCTGTTTGCTACCCATGTTGGCAACAGGTCGGGGTGCGCAGTGGCACGCCCCGCCATAGGGTGTGGGCGTGTCTCAACCCATGCGATCCGTACTTTGCCTCGTCGCCGCGAGAGCCAAAAGCATGCCTGAGGGGAGCTGGATGACAGTGTTGCGTTAAGGCACCTGATGACACACTGGCACGACTTGAAGACGGAATGGTTTGATTCCTGCATGCCGGCTCAATGTGATACAAGAGTGGACGCAGCTGCTGCACAGTAGCCCTAGAAAGCTTTCCCGAGACTACTTTCCGACCCCGGTCAGAATGCAGCAGCCAGGACCGATGTTGGCATGGTACGATGTCAGGTATGCGTGAAATGCATTGATGCGTGGTGTAAAGTGTAAACAGCGCAAAGTTGCGAGTGGTGCCTGGTGCAGGACAGCAGGTGACCGAACTCGCCATGCAGAACTCTATGAGTGCTGTGGTGGCTCGCATCCGTGCTCGCAGCTGTGGCACGCCGATGCCGTTCACCTCGCAGGTGCCTGTCCAGAACTCGGAGTCCGGTCGAGGAGACGTTGCTTGCATGTTGGGTTGTGATGGCCATTTGGGGCAAAATTACGATTAAAATGTACTTACTAGAAGCAGCGAGCAGTATTGTTGACTTGTATATATTCCTAGTTCCGCAAACGTTCACCATAAGATTCTGAAGATTGGTCGTCGCATGCTTGCCGCACGTGCCTTGCAGTGGTGGTGGTGCTGTTTGCTTTGAGGATACACGCTTGGCCGCGAGTACCCGTGCATGGGCAATGGCTCCATGCTGAGCAGCATTCTGGCTCCCGTTGGCGTGAGCCTGACTTTCTGCGTGATCGTGGGCAAGTCCCTCCACATGTTCGGCAAGTGAGCCTGCTGTGGCATCTTTTGGGGGCCTCGGAACCAATCCGGGCTACCATGTCGAGGCCATGCCGTTGAGTCCGCTCAAGCAAGTTCACGCGTGGGCTGCGATGTACAGTGCCCTTATACTCGCCACAAAATTCGTGGCCATCATACAGAGCTATGAACACCCACCTGCGGTGCCCCCTGTTTGCTACCCATGTTGGCAACAGGTCGGGGTGCGCAGTTGAACTGCACTCACACTCCACGAGCTCACAGTTTGTTCCAACTTGCACTGCAAAAAATGGAGGATCTCTCCTTTTTCTGAGCCGAACATGAGTGGCATTCTGGGCAGCCGAGTGACATCGGAGAATCTCATCCTTGAGAAACCCTCAACCGGCAACCTTAACCACCTGAGACACTAGCACTAAGGTTCAAGGTCACGCCGACATCGGGAAGGCATCGCCAAGTTGATCTACATGATGGCTCCTGTGGACCATATCTATATGCTTTGTTTGTCTATACATCGAAACGTCTGATTGCATTGTATGTCTCCTGATCAAGACACACACACACATGTGGTGTTCCAAGAGGTCTTAGGGTCTGGGGTGCCACGAGGGCCAACCCTAAACCTTAAACCCTAGACCCTAAACCCTAAACCCTAAACCCTAGACCCTAAACCCTAAACCCTAACATTCTGAACCCTTAGCCGCTGTTCGAGACAGTTGTGAGGTATCGGTAGAAGCAGGTGGTAGAAGATTGAAGGCAGGAGCTGTGCCCTGGAAGCCGGCTACGAATTTCAGGGTTTGGGGCTTGCGTAGGGTTTCAGAGAAAAGGGTTCAAGCTTTTTGGGAGCTTCGCTGTGTCCCTAAACCCTAAACCCTAAACCCTAAACCCTAAACCCTAAACCCTATAAACCCTAAACCTCAAAATCAGCTTTGCGCAGGGGCTATCGAGTGATGCTCGTCAGTGAGATTGCGCCCTCTAAGCCGACGTGGCGAAAGGTACAGAACTGATTCGAGCTTGAAGGCACAACTACATCCCCCTTGTGATTTTTTCATTTTTGTTTAGATAAAGCCCAAGAAGATAATACACATACTATACCATTATTTAAGGTTCTAGGGGGAGTATAGTCTGTTGATGGGGCTCGTACTGCTGTAGCTGCCGTGCATTTTGGTTGAATTCGCCCATGGCGCACGAAGCTCGAGCTACACGGACCAAGCGAAATCCGCGAGCGTGAGGAGCTTATGATTCTGCAAAGCGCGTTGCAGAACATGGAGACTTGCTCTCGCAGACGCCTGCATACCCCTTCATTGGCGGCGTAAGGCTTAGGCAACTATCCGGAGATTGGATGATGTCACTATCTCGGCACTGGTATAGCGCTCAGGAGAGAGTCTTTCCAACGCAGCGCATAGATCAACCACGCAGGATTGAGGCGTGATAGCAAATATACATATATATATATATAGATATGTATATATTGCCCTTCAGACTCTAGACCCTAACAGCCCCCAACAGGCACATTTTGGCCGCTGCGAGCTGCAAGATTATGTACCATTTTGTTATCGCCCATCTTCTGATCGCGCAGATCAGATGGGGCGTGGTTTCAACAACAGCATGTCGCCAGCTGTCGAGACGGCAGGTGACCTTGTATGACAGTCTGTGAGATCCGCATTCCTCGCATGCCTGCTTTCTGGCATTCAGTTTCTGAGCCGTCGATTGATCAGCCCCTGCTCCGCAAGCGCCAGGGATCTCCTGCCATAAGCCCTAAACCCGAAACCCTAGACCCTAAACCCTAAACCCTAAACTAGTTCTGTACTCAGGGTTTCTTATGTACGGGGACGGCTAAAGGTCAGACCGTGAGACCAAACTTCAGGGACTTGCGGCTTGGGCATCGTTAGGCCACACAGGCCCCTCACAACCCTAAACCCTAAACCCTAAACCCTAAACCCTAAACCCTAAATCCTAAATCCTAAACCCTAAACCCTAAACCCTAAACCCTAAACATTTCGGCAGAAGCTTGCGCAGGCCGGCTGGGGTGTGAAAGGACAGGGCAAGTGGTGTCTGCGGAAAGGCTGGTCAGCGGGGTATGCTTCAAAAAGCCGTTAGCCGTTATCCATTACTTCCCCCTTTTTGTTGGGGTTTAGTACCCTTCCAAGCCCCTTCAAACCAAAAAGTTGCCCTTTTCTTCCTAGGTTACTCTTGGGTCCAAGAAATCATCAACATGGCCATGCAGCTTCCCCCACATGATCACGCCTGACACCTCCGACTCATCCAACCCATGGCGCATACTACAGATTGCGGAAAAAAGGTGTGGGTTTCTGTTCAGGAGCTCTCTCTGGCCCTCCTTTGTCACGTCTTTGCTGGGTCACCCATATAAGGTGGTTTTAACCTGAACCTTGATGGGTTTCCTTAAGGGTAGTGCTATGGGTCCTTGGGTTGTAGAGGGTATATAAGGTAAATAAGGGGCCGGCCTGCTTGTAAGAGACCATGTAACTACCCTAAGACAGTCTGAGAAGAGGTCATCTGGGCGATTCGGTGCATGACAGGTGGCGCGGAGTTGCCGCGACACGCTTGCTGCGACTTTCCCGAACTCCATGGAAGGCGTGCCATCTGAAGTTCAGAGGGCTCGAATTCCCACCGCAACCCACAGAGTCTTAGTGAATGGATCTGAATGGTACGGGTACGTAGACTCTGGACCTTAAACCCTAAACCCTAAACCCCAAACCCTAAACCCTAAACCCTAAACCCTACACCCTGCCGTACCTTCTTGTGCCAGGCCGCCAGCTCTGTGTCTTCCACGCCTGCGGCGCAAGGGATCTCCCGCCATACACTCAGTCATTATATCCTCGAAGCATGAACCGGGTTTAGGGTTTAGGGTTTAGGGTTTCGGGTCTTGCAGGTTTTACGCGGTCACAGGTAGGGCAACGATGGTTGTGACCTACTTTCGGGTACTTCTAAACCCACTTCTCAGTACCCATGAACCTTGAAGTATGCTCAACGCATGAACCTTGGGATGTTCCCCCTTAGGGTTTAGGGTTTAGGGTTTAGGGTTTAGGGTTTGGGGTTTGGGGTTTGGGGTTTAGGGTTTGGGTTTAGGGTATACGAACAGCTCCTTAAACTACTTTTTGCTTCAGAACCCCCCCGCCCAAAGAAAAATCCCTATATTGCCTTATAAGGAAGGAACGGGGGGGGAAGTAGGTACCCCACATAGACTAGGACTCGCCTTTCGCTGAGACACCCAGTTAGAGCTGCGCGGGGTTTAGGGTTTAGGGTTTAGGGTTTAGGGTTTAGGGTTTCGGGCCTAGGGCCTAGGGTTTAGGGTTTAGGGTTTAGGGTTCTTGAAAGAGACCACTGGGCCTGGTCCCAGGCTTCTCTGGGGCCATGCCCCCTCAAGACTAGCGACCCTCAAACCCTAAACCCTGAACCCTGAAACCCTGAACCCTGAACCCTAAACCCTAAACCCTAAACCCTAAACCCTAAACCGGCAAAGGGTCTACAAGAACACAGAGCAGCCCTTTCGGGACAACCTGGGTTTGGTCGTCGTGCCTGCCAGCGACGAGGCGGTTTAGGGTTTGGGAAGCAAACCCTAAACCCTAAACCCTAAACCCTAAACCCTAAACCCCAAACCCTAAACCCTAAACCCTAAACCCTAAACCCTAAACCCTAAACCCTAAACCCTAAACCCTAAACCCTAAACCTTAAACCCTAACCCTAAACCCTAAACCCTAAACCCTCAAGGCACCCTTGCAAGGCAGCTTGCAGGTAAAGTGGGGGCGTCTTAGGCGTCAAGAAAAAAGGGTGTATAGGGGTTAGGTCGGGAATATGGTGAAGGGCCCCTCTGTCGCTAAGTGCATGTTGCAGCATACTTCCTCTCTGTGGGAGGGATGACTGGACATAGGCGCTGTCAGGCTATTTTAGGACTTCTTTCTGCAAGGATCACGCGAAGTTGGCATTCTTACTTGATTTAAGAGGGGCTGCCGTTAAGGCCCCCTTTTGTTGGTTGCTCTACGTCATAAGTAGGCAGTAGCACCTCGCCAGGCAGAAGTTCGTGGTTTAGGGCTTAGGATTTAAGGCATATTATTAGTTTTTGGGCTCTCTGGGTAGGGTCCTCTTCAGAAGAACCCTACAAGCCTGCAGACGCAGGACTTCCTGCTGGAAAACCCGTCGCACCTGTCGTACCTTTCCGACGACATGATCGATGCCAGAGCCTTTCCTTCCCCGAACCTCAAGGGACTAAAGGAGGGAGCCTTATAAGGGACCTTAGGGGCAGTTTGGGGATAATTTAGGGGCTACTTCTACCCCGTGGTCCCTCCTCAGGAACCCTTGAATCCCTTGTACCAAGCACCTGCATCACGAGCGTTCGCCCATTGCACGACATGGTAGTTGTTCAACATACCTGTCCCAAAATCACCAGGTAGGTTCCCTTGTTTAACACGGATTCCCCTTGGAAGGGATCCCCTTTCTCAATGGTCTATCCCATAGTTTTGATTGCAGGCCACGCGAGTTTGCAGTTCGCCTTGGATGCTTGAGGTCGCTCAAGCTGAAGGGAAGCTGCTTCCAACATTGCGGGAAGGAGACAGTATGGGTTTAGGGTTGGGGTTTAGAAGGGCATGGCCCCGAATTAGGTTTTGGCATTGCCCGCCCTGCTTTAGCATGTTTAGCCGCCTTGCCACGGGCTGTGGCTATATCTGTGGACACTCACCCGGTAAAGGTACAGTCCTCAAATCAATGTACCTTAAGAGCCCCAAACGTAGTTTTTGAGGGTTGCCTAGGAATTCTATAAGCGGTGTTGCAGTAGTTTTGGCTTCCTAAGGTACCCTAAACCCTAAACCCTGAACCCTGAACCCTGAACCCTGAACCCTAAACCCTAAACCCTAAACCCTACGTGACCGGGGTATCGGGCGTTTAGCGGGCTGCGGGAGTCCAGGAGACGTGCGCTGGCAGCAGTTTTTCTGCGCGGAGTTTGGGGTTTAGGGTTTAGGGTTTGGGGTTTAGGGTTCCAGGTTTAGGGTTTAGGGTTTGGGGTTTAGAGTAATCTATGGTTCGCTACCATTTCCGGCACTACACAAAGGAAGGGTGCGAAGCACTCAGGGTCCGCCACAGTAGCCCTAAACCCTAGACCCTAAACCCAAACCCTAAGCCCTAAGCCCTAAACCCTAAACCTAATGGATACAGAACCCTCCCAAGGAGCCCCACATTGCGTTGAATAATGACTACTAAGAATATTCCCTTAGGGTCCCTTTGTAAATATATTATATAATAACCCCCCCCCCCCCCCCCGAAACCCTATTCTAACTATTCAGGCCCCTATATCATGCTTCTTTTTAAGCAGCCCCAGCTTGTCGTTAAAGGGGAGATTCCCTGGACTAAGGGGCATTGGGCTTTTTCTGGCTGCAATCATGCAATGTGTGCAGGAAACGTGGGCGCGGCGGTGCAGGCCCGCATTTGTGGTACCCTAAACCCTAAACCCTAAACCCTAAGCCCTCAGCCCTAAGCCCAAAAGCACTCAATCAAAGAAAGCACCCGTAGCCAGATCGCAGAGGCTCGTGTTCTGAATTGAGGTGTAGAGCTTCAGAAAACGGGCCTTGCGCTATAACTGCCCGCCTCTGCGTCCCTAAACCCTAAACCCTAAACCCTAAACCCTAAACCCTAAACCCTAAACCCTAAACCCTAAACCCAGTTACTGGGAGCTGCTGCTGCCCGCTTCGTGCTGGCCCCGAGCAACGGCGAAGGCAACCTCAAGGCTCGTGGCGCTCCGCCTGTTTTGCTGCTTAGGGTTTAGGGTTTAGGGTTTAGGGTTTAGGGTCTAGGGTTTAGGGTTTAGGGTAGCTACTGATACCCCAAAAAGTATATACTGTTTTTCGAGGGTCTACTCCAAAGTAGGGACAACCGGCAAGGGCACCCATACTTGGGAAGCCATGTTCATATCATGGATTCCCCTCCTCCCCCCCCCCCCCCTAGTTTCCCGCCCTTAGATATGACCTTAATTCGGCTGAGTTCTGGGGATCCTAGGGGGGAGGGGGAGGGGGGGGGGGGTAGTAACCCTAAACCCTAAACCCTAAACCCTAAACCCGGCGGCAATAGGGGAGCCCATGTTCATGCCGCACGCTACTCGCAGGCTGACTGCGAGAAGCTGGGCGTGCAGCAGTGTGGAGCCACCTTGCTTGCCGCTTGTCGGCATGCAACGCCGATGTGAGACTTTGAGACCAATAGAGGGGGTCGGAATAATTGCTCAGAATATTCCCCTGCGGTCCCTTTCTAAATGTGCTATGATAACCCCCCAAAACCCTATTCTGATCATTAAGGCCCCTTCATTAGACGTTGCTATGTTCCCAATGCCCGTGCTGTCGCAGCCGCAGTCAGCCACACACTACTTGGATGAGGCAAAGACGAGGGAGGACGTGAAAGGGCCCGCTTCTTACATGTTTGCTCGCCTGAGTCGCCGCACATCTCCTCAAGAGGTGCTGATGTGTGTTTGAATGCCAGGGTTTAGGGTTTAGGGTTTAGGGTTTAGGGTTTAGGACACAAGCCAGGCTAAAGCTCAACTGAACGGCTGATCTCAGGACCTTCCAGCGTGCGCTGGGCCCCGAGGGCGTGTTGAAAGTGGAGGCGCCCAGTGGCAACGGGCCTGTTTCGAGCTGTGGTTGCATGTCGGCTCGAAAGGACCATGAGTACGTTTGCGGGGCCCTTTGAAGAACCAAGACGAATTAGCAAGTGCAGGACCTGCGCAAGTTCCTGCAAAGTATCGACCCCACGCTGAAAGAGAAGGACCCCTGGCGTGTTCTTGCATCTCTCTGGAGGCCACATGAAGACTGCAAAAGGGCCTTTCAAACCAGACCCTCCACCCTAAACCCCGCCAACCCTATACACCCTGCAAAACCTAAACCCTAAAGCCTAAAGCCTTAAGCCCGTCACCCCTGCAATCCCTCGGTCTTGAACCAAAGCCCAAACCCCTACACTCCCTAAACCGCCCGTAAACTCCCGAAACTGGGGTTCAGTTTAGGGTTTAGGGATTATAGGGCCCCCGAAACTCCCTAAACTCCCCTCAACCCCTGACAACCCTAAACCCTAAACCCTAAACCCAGGGTCCCGGGTCAGGAGCTCGACCAGCTCCTGAGCGCGTCGCCAAAGTCCGCTTCCGGCCTGGTGAGCTGCCTAGTTGCTGGGTTTAGGGGGTTTAGGGTTTAGGGTTTAACTTACTGTTGGTTAGCAGGGAATGAGGGAATTAGGGCCCTATATATATATATATATATTTATATCATACATACCCTTGCAGGGATTATGTAGGGTGCCTCATTCCTCCCATTCCCTTCTAGCCAACAGGAAGGTAAAGGAAGGCTAGGGCTTAGGGCTTAGGGCTTAGGGCTTGGGGTTTAGGGTTTAGGGTTTAGGGTTTAGGGTTTAGGGTTTAGGGTTTAGGGTTTAGGGTTTAGGGTTTAGGGTTTAGGGTTTAGGGTTTAGGGTTTAGGGTTTAGGGTTTAGGGTTTAGGGTTGTGCCAGACCAGGGGTGCCCTTTTGCTGTTTTTGTTTCTTGGTTCCTTTCTAAAACAGCCAACCACGAAGAAGGGCACCCTTGTTGTCACCAGCAGGTTACTGGGCTACTTGGCCTAGTTGCTGGGATTGGGGTACAGGGAGTATGAGGGTTTTGGGGTTTTGGGGCTTTCGGGTTTTAGGGTTTCTTCGTTGTCAAGCGACAAGTTAGGGCCCGCCCCTCCTCGATACCCAAAAAAGGTAGACTCCCTTCTGAGAAGGGTTTAGGGTTTAGGGTTTGCGGTTTAGGGACCTCCCAAGAACGAACCCTGAACCCTAGAAACCTTAAACCCTGAACCGAACCCTGAACCTTGGCCCAATGCAGTTGAGGGTTGAGGGTTTGCCTAAACCCTAAACCCTAAACCCTAAACCCTAAACCCTAAACCCTAAACCCTAAACCCTAAACCATAAACCCTAAACCCTCGAAATTCGTGGGCTGGCGGTGGAATCCTCGTATGTGTCGGCTAGGTGCAGGCAATATTGAAGCCGCGCTCGTGGCCCCCAATCCGAAACCCGCAACCGATGTAGGGTTCAGGGTTCAACGGTGAACCCTAAACCCTAAGCCCTAAGCCCTAAGCCCTAAGCCTTAAGCCCTAAGCCCTAGCACAAAAGCCTCGCCGGTGCAGCGTAGGTGGCTGGTCTCGAGTTCATGGATTGGATCCTCAACAGCCTACAGCCGTCTGGCCCTTGCAGACTGAGGTAGGGTTTAGGGTTTAGGGTTTAGGGTTTAGGGTTTAGGGTTTAGGATTCAGGGTTCAGGGTTTAGGGTTTAGGGCTTAGGGTTTAGGATTCAGGGTTGCGGGCGGGTTTGTTTTGGGTTTCAGGTCTAGGGTGTGTCAAGCGTACGACCACAGAGTGCACTGAGGTGCACATGATCTGAAGCTACCTCCAAATTGTTTCACCCAGACATGGTCTACGAGACGGTTACCTTGGACTTACCGAATTTGAAGGTTTGCTAGAGCAGTTGAGGCAAAAAGGCTACTATAGGGGCCTTAGTAATTCGAACAGGGTTCTCTGGGTTGTTATAGTATATTTCTCAAGGGGCCATAAGGGAATACTATTCTTAATTTTTCCGACCCCTACAGTACTCATTTTCTGGGCACAAGTCCCCAACCCGCATTGACACAATGTTGGGAGCTGGCGGACAAGGTCTTACTGACGCCTGGCCGACCTCCACCCGCATGCAACGTGGAACGCAATAGGAACAGCCATCATCGGAGCACACCGAAGGTGTGCTCCATGGTAGCTTCTGCCGAAACTTTGCGCATTCGAGCCCATCTCATGTTGTCGCAGAGCCTGCTTAGTGAATCGTGCAAGACTTGTGGAAGCACCAGTGTAACATTGCATCGCTCTCCACACCTCCCACACGGACCCAAGAAGGGTGCCAGAGGGAAGTGCAATTGATCCTGGCCGTGGGCGAGAGCATCGTACAGCTCTCCTCATATTAGTGTTTTCTATTGTGTTTTTGTATATATATATATATACAGATCTTATTACGTTTTTAAATTGTTGTATTGTTTGATTCATATGATAATTAGTATGTATGTGTATATATATATATATACATATATACACACACTAGGTTATACATCGCATTGACATGCTATGTCCTATATGATGTTGTTTCGTGTGCATATATATATATATGCAAGAGTATATATATATATATATGTATATGGATGGATAGATAGATAGGATAGATAGACACGTTTCGTAGACTACATAGCAATCATGTATACATGCCAAAAAACACAAGCAAATGCAAAAACAACAAAAGTATGCAATAGTATGTACGCAAAATGTATAAGTGTATACACATATATATATATATATACAGATAACACATATATATATATGTTTATATCTATATACATATATATATATACACACATGGTGTGTGTGCGTGTGCGTGTGCGTGTGCGCGCGTGAGCGCGCGCGCGGGTGTGTCTCTGTGTGTGTGTGTGTGTGGATTCGGTGGTCCTCAAGTTCCTAAAGTCTTCAAAAGGTCCGTTGTGACCAGGCCAGAGATGAGCACGTGACGGCATCGAGGTAGTCTTGTTTAGGGTTTCGGAGTTGGGTTTAGGGTTTAGGGTTTAGGGTTTAGAGTTTAGGGTTTAGGGTTTAGGGTTTAGGGTTTAGGGTTGTGTAGGGAAGAGGGCCCTTCCCTGCCAAACTTTGTGCGGCGGATACAGTTTTTCAAATCAACCTCATCCCTAAACCCTCAAACCCTAAACCCTAAACCCTATGGCATATAGCCCAGGCTTGGATTTCCCTTAGGCCCTGCGCTCTCGAATCGGGACGCAGGGCTGGACATGCAGAGCTGCCTCTGAGAGATCGACGCGGCACAGTGGGGAAGCACGGTGGAGAACAAGGTTAGGGTTTAGGGTTTAGGGTTTAGGGTTGAGGGTTTAGGGTTTAGGGTTTAGGGTTTAGGGTCCAGATTTGCCAGAGGTCAAAGAATCCAGTCGCGGAACGAGTTCTGACAGAATACTTTCGGCTCACAGCACATAGTCCACATCAAGTGTTGGTGCGAGAGAGTCTTGCAAAAAAGGTGTTTTGCTGGACCCCACAGTCGTGGTCCCAGGTTGGGTACTCCGAAACGCTCAAGCTTCAACCCCAATCTCTACAGAACCTACCCAACGATGGCCGCTGAAAAGAACCACCAGCCCAATGCCAATTCTGCTGGCAGTTTCGGGTTCAGGGGTTTAGGATGAGCCCATCCACATCAGACTCTAGAACTCCCTTGTCTACCACATTCTACCACCATGGCCCTGCGCTTTTCTCTCAATGGTGAAGCTGGTCAGTCTCCCAAAGCGCGCCAGGGACTCAGAGGGGGCCCTAGATGCCTCTTTGGCTCTCTGAGTTTAAGCACCCTTTGGCCTAAATCTCCTAAAAAAGGATGTATGAGGACAAGCAAGCGAATCCTCAGATTCCGAGTTCCATATCAAATTCCCTTTCCAGAACTGGGTGGTCTCCAAGAACTCCCACATTCAGTCAGGAAGCCCTCCTCCTCTACTCCTGCTCAAGGAGTTTGCCCCCAAACGCCATCTACCCTACGCCTACGCCTCAACCCTACAAACCAGAAACAAGAAACCTCGACCTTAAACCCTAGAAACCCCCATAACCCCTTATCGGCCCCTACACACCCTATAACCCTAAACCCTGAACCCTAAACCCTCTTGTACCTCTAGAAGCGCCTAAGAATTAGAAGCAGTCGTCCCGAGCCCTGTGCAAAGGCGATAGCGCTGGAGACAAACCTGGCCTCGCCGGGCGCTTAGGTGAGGGTTTGGGGTTTGGGGTTTAGGGTTTAGGGTTTGGGGTTTAGGGTTTGGGGTTTGGGGTTTAGGGTTTAGGGTGAATCAGAGCTGAACACGCTTGAAAATCGTTCTTCCCAGTAGGTTTCTGAGTATCAATCGCATGAATATCATTATTAAACTATTATTAACATCAGTATGGGTATCATTGTATTATGAGTATTCTTATTGAAATTTGTATCATCATTATGAATACTATTGCTTGTGGTTTTAGCATGCTTAATACCTTCACTACTATACATATTACCTTACATTTTATTCAGTTAAGAATTCTTAATATATGAACATTGATACGAGTAGTTCACTAATGTTTTTTGATTACCAAGAACAGCAATACTACTCATCTTCTTCAGATGGAGAAGATGATCAATATTGACCAGTATTAAGTGTTTTTTGAATTTCATGAGTTGTGTTTCAATTACTATTCACATTCATCTTCTGCATATTATTAAGACAATGAAACTTTTCATAAAAGTCATAGGGTTCAGGACAGACGGACTGATGTCGGACTGTTCGAGCTATCTTATGAGACAGACTAAGACTTTGACCTTCACAGTCCAGAAGGTTCTGGGTCTGTAGGGCTTCAGAAGGTTTAGGGTTTAGGGTTGACGATGGCTCGTTGATTGGTCACTTTATAGTAGGATTCCTGTAGAAAGCTCCGCAACATGGCGGCCGTAAATTTGAACATGCCTACTTTCAGCTTGTTAGTTGTTCTTCTGCTTCTTGTTCAGCTACAGCTACAACATGTCTTCGAAGGCCTTTTGGGGCTTGCTTTCTGCGCGAAGCCTCCCTGTGCATCCAGAGAATCCTAAACCCTAAACCCTGAACCCTAAAACCCTAAAACCCTAAACCCCTAAACCCTAAACCCTAAACCCTAAACCCTAAACCCTAAACCCTAAACCTAAACGCAGCACCTTGCCGAGACCAGCGGAAGCGAAGACAGCAGCCAGGTGGCCAGGGATAGGGTTCAGGGTTTAGGGTTTAGGGTTTAGGGTTTAGGGTTTAGGGTTTAGGGTTTAGGGTTTAGGGTTTAGGGTCGCAGCGACGGTATTTGGGGCAGGCTTCTGAGTCATTCTCTATGTTTCATGGGATGGGGGTGGGTGGTGGGGTACCCTAACTAGGCTCCGTAGCAAAATGAGGAGCCCTCAAAAAGGGACTGTGCTTTGGAATTGGTGTCAGGCTCATTGTCACCACCAGGTGAATAGGCCGAATTCTCGGGGCCAGGCCGCCAAGAAGATGACGACGGACCTGCGCCTCGTGCTCGGCGATGCTCAGCACTGGCGAATAGACAACGTTGGAAGCACTCAACACACACACAATATTGTACTGTGTTGGCTTCAACCTTCATTGCTGATGCAATTAATGTACAAGAAGTGTACCGAGCAGCCTGCTGAGTGCAGGCTTACCCCAAACTGCAAGTGAAGACCCTAGACCCTAGACCCTAAACCCTAAACCCTAAACCCTAAACCCTAAACCCTAAACCCTAAACCCTAAACCCTAAACCCTAAAGGCGGCGGCCTTCAAGTCAAGTTTCACCCGCATGATTTCTCGACCCTTCTCAGCCATCAAAGCTTCAAGTCAAGGCTTGTTAATATAAGGTAATAGGGTTTGGGGTTTAGGGTTTAGGGTTTAGTGTTTAGGGGCCTTAGTGATTGGAATAGGGTTTTGGGGGGCCAGTTTTTTGTCCTTATAAAGGGGCCATAAGGGCATACTATTCGTAATAAATCCGACCCCTCTACTAGGATGACCACCGTGATCAGGGCTGCTGCAAAGTGCAAAGCCTGACCAGACCTGGTTTTGGTTGGGAGGTTTAGGGTTGAGGGTTGAGGGTTTAGGGTTTAGGGTCTCCTATTTGGTTAGAATATGTATGTTGAGCAGTTCAAGTACAGTTGTACGGGTTGCGCTATAGGGGAAAAATCGGCAACGATTTGGAGTGATGTCAATTATCTGGAATCAGTCGTCTTGATGGTGATGTATACGGAGGCCTAGATTTCAGTAGCCTCTAACAAATTGTAGTTCTCCAGTGTTCGTAGCAGGGACATCTGCCCAATCCGATTAGCGCTTGACGAGGTCATCAATGGATCATGCTCCGTGAGGACTCTGTGCTTCTTCTGACATCTCAACCTGCCAGTTCTACATGTGTGATCTGCGATTGATTTCTTTGATGGCCCCACGGAAGAGCAGTAGGCTATGTGAGAACGATCTAAACCATATAGGCCTCCTTGCAGGCATCGGGTCGTGCCTCAGGAACATGCTGTGATTCTTGCATACGCCTTCAGGAACCTAAACTCGAAAGCAACCGCGAACCTCAGGAAAGCACATGATGACGGGCTGCTGGTGATGGATCATTGGTTGCTAACCGCATTGCTGGAAGCAACGAGCACAGAGTACTGATTGCAATTTGCGAGGGATAAGTTCAATAAACCCTCAACCCTAAACCCTAAAACCCTAAACCCTATATCCTAAACCCTAAGCCACCAGCCCCACCCCTTTCCGGCGAGGAGTGGTCCGGCTTCCTGGCGCAGCGGCAGGCCGAGCAGGACAAATCGCCCTCACAACACATTTTAGGGTTTAGGGTTTAGGGTATAGGGTTTAGGGTGTTTCACGAAACGAGACATTGCGGCTGCAGTTCATCTTGCACCAACTTCACAAGCCATCATGGGCTAAAGTACATCTGCTGGACCCCTAAACCCTAAACCCCAAACCCTAAACCCTAAACCCCACAGACCCCCTTGTCCAGGATGCTTTCGTGGAGCAGCTCCTGCAGCTTCTGCCCCGTTGCTGGACTGAAGTTTCTGCCAAGCTGTCCCCAAGTGCCTAAAGGCCTTAGCCCTTGGTTTAGGGGTTAGGGTTTAGGGTTTAGGGCCTTCGGGTAACCCAAGACCCGAAACCCTACCTGAGACTCTCTTTACATACCTGCTCATTAAGGGGCAGTTACTACAAAACTGTAGGTAAATTGAGGGGTTTTACGAAATTTTGGGACCCCTTTATGACCCCCGTATAACAAGGACCCCAGTAACGTACCCGTAATTACGTAATTTCGGAAACACCCTTAAATAGAGGCCTCGGAACCCTAAACCCTAAACCCTAAACCCGCCCTGAACCCTGAACCCTGTTTTTGCAAAGAGCCCTCTGTGCGAGGCCAACAGCTGGATGAGCAGCTAGCAGGGGCAGGAGGCTTAGTGGATCCAGGTCCCAGGGTTTAGGGTTTAGGGTCTAGGGTTTAGGGTTTAGGGTTTAAGGTTTAGGGTTTAGGGTTTAGGGCCATGAAAAGTCTTACATGAACTCTCAAATCTATGATTCTGGTTGATCTTGTCATGAAGAGCTGAGCAACTGAGTTCAACGACCCAGCACCGAGCCCGAGCAGATCTGGTGGAAGCCCACAGGCCTACTTGGGCAGAATTGAGATGCAGAGCGCATGGAGGCTAACCCTAAACCCTAAACCCTAAACCCTAAACCCTAAACCCTAAACCCTAAACCCTAAACCCTAACCCCGATTTGCTGCAGTTAACGGCCTTGTAGATTCTGCCAGGCTGCTCAGAACAGCTCGGGGGCGCAGCTGCAACCTATCAGGCCCGAACTTGGAGCTTTTCTATAGGTGGTTATAAGTAGGGTTTAGGGTTTAGGGTTTAGGGTTTAGGGTTTAGGGTTTAGGGTTTAGGGTTTAGGGCTACTTGAAGGTTCATGGGTAGTTATATGTGGGGTTACAAGTAGGGTAGCTACAACTATAAACTGGTTAACCTTACTTAAAGTACTTATAACCCTACTTATAACTACCCATGAACCTCCAAGTAGGGTTCTTAAGAGAGGGGGCTTCTTAGGGGGTAAACCCTAAACCCTAAACCCTAAACCCTAAACCCTAAACCCTAGGTACCTAGAGGACCTTAGGGAAGCCAAGGCTCCGGGAGTAGTGGGGAGTATTGGCGAACCTTGGGTGACATGCCCCCCTTGAACCCCCCTTCCTTAACGACCCTCTAGTTTCGGCTTGAAAGCCCTCAACCCTAAAACCCTAAACCCTAAACCCTAAACCCTAAACCCTAAACCCTAAACCCTAAGCACCAAACCCTAAGCTCTAAAATCGCAGAGACAAGGTTGCATGGTTGCTTCTTCTTGTTTCGTGTGCCTGGAAATCCTTCAATCTGATCTGCGACATCCCCAACAGAATGACCAACTTCCGAGAAGAGGTTTAGGGTTTAGGGTTTAGGGTTTAGGGGTTTAGGGTTTAGGGTTTAGGGTTTAAGGTTTAGGGTTTAGGGTTTCTCTCTGACATGGTGGCCGTTTTGAGGTTCCCACCACTCTACGGAGCCGCAGCTGTGAATTCAGGGTGCCCAGCGACCGAAGATATCCCAGAGAACCACCGCAGCGAAGGTTCACCCTAAACCCTGAACCTCTAAAACCCTAAACCCCAAACCCTAAACCCTAGACCCCAAACCCCAAACCCTAAACCCTAAACCCCAAACCCTAAAACCCTAAAACCCTCAAACCCTAAACCCCTAAACCCCTAAACCCCTAAACCCCTAAACCCCTAAACCCCTAAACCCCTAAACCCCTAAACCCCTAAACCCCTAAACCCCAAACCCTAAACCCGAAACCCTAAACCCTAAACCCGAATGAAACCATACGCGCAGGTCTGAGAAGATGATGGTGTTCGAGGACTTCGCCACTGAGGCAGCGACTCGCACCCTGGCTTGGGTTTGGGTGTTGGGGGTTTAGGGTTTAGGGTTTAGGGTTTAGGGTTTTGGAGTCGAGGGTCTAAGGTTGAGGGCTTGCGAACCATGATGTAGCACATTGTGCGCTAGAACCTCTTGCCACCTAAGGTCATCCCGTGGACCTCGAAACCCTAAACCCTGATGCCACATGCTGAGAGTTGTCCCCCCCATTTGCAACCTTCCAAACTGGAGACCGCTTGCTGCGCCCCTGGGGTTTGGGGTTTAGGGTTTAGGGTTTAGGGCTTGGGGTGCATAGGTTAAGCGCTGATTTCATGGTCGATAGCCTTCGGTACTGAAAAGCAGCAACTCTCGCGGTAAGACCGTAAGGCCTATGAACCCAAATCCGTGAGTCTCCCTCAACCCTAACCCCTAGACCCTAAACCCTAAACCCTAAACCCCAAACCCCAAACCCTAAACCCTAAACCCTAAACCCTAAACCCTAATCCAAACTGAGGCATGAAGCAGTTCGTCGGAGAGTCCTCTGAGGACGAGGCCTCGGGCTATAGTCTCCCCTGAGAGCCCAGTACTCCCGGTTAGGGTTTAGGGTTTAGGGTTTAGGGTTTAGGGTTTAGGGTTTAGGGTTTAGGGTTTAGGGTTTAGGGTTTAGGGTTTAGGGTTTAGGGGCTTGAAGGCTCATGGCTACTTGTAAGTGGGGTTTTGGGATGTTTCACCCTTTCTGACAGTCCTTAATAAAACAAAAATATAGTACCCCCTGTTATGATCCCATCAAGGACCGTTAGTATAAGGGAGAACATCCCAAGTGGGGTTGTAAGTATCCGAAAGAAGGTTTATAAAACAAAGTTACCCTACTCATATACCCTACTTACAGTACAAGTACCCATGAACCTGCAAGTGGTTAAGCATGTACATTGTAATTACTTCAAAAACCACGCTGCGGGTCCTGAAGAGGAGTGACGGTATTTTCCTGAATGAAGGAGCTCTGGCTCTATCGGGATCTAGTAGGCAGCGGAAGCTGAATCTAGAGCTAGCAGCGCGAGGGCGGCGATGTACTCAAAAAGTGCTAGTGTTACGTGCTGACCTCCCTAGCCTTCCCCGCTCCTTCCCCTCCTCCCCTTTCTTTCTCGGATGCTGCAACCGTCTCACCCTAAACCCTAAATAAACCCTAAGCCCTAAACCCTAAACCCTCCTCCGCAGGTCAGCCATGCGGTAAGCACCAGCCACAGAAAGATCGGCAGCACACACTCGCGTGGCAAGAGCTGCTTGGCCAATGCGGAAGCAAGGGTTAGGGTTTAGGGTTTAGGGTTTAGGGTTTAGGGTTTAGGGTTTAGGGTTCGACCCTCTTATGTCTGCTTTGCCAGTATATAGTGGGCCACCCGGGGGGGGGGGGGGGGGAGAATGTGCTAACTGAGGAGGGTTTGGGTTTCAAAGGGCCTCTGGTCTTGACCGAGGCCTCTTGTAGATGGAAGCCTCGTGCTACGTGCTACCAGGATTTGTTTCCCCCCCCCGCGTTTTTGACCGTTTTGCGTTTAAGTCGAGTTCCGGGGCTTCGGCAAAATTGTTGCGGCGTGAATGCCTAAACCCTAAACCCTATAACCCTATAACCCTATATCCCTATAACCCTATAACCCTATAAACCCTAAACCCTAAACTGTGGTGAATGGCTGGTCAACATCACTGGGGTAGGTTTGGGGGCCCTGCATTTTTTCGGCTTGGCTTTCTGAGGATTATGTAGGGGATAAAAGGGTAAGAGCAACCAAAATTTCCTAAGCCCTAAACCCTAAACCCTAAACCCTAAACCCTAAACCCCTGATTCTGGTTCAGGGTTTAGGTCGCGGGAAGAGTTGGCAAGGTCGGCACCCTTTTTCTCGATGCACGCCCTTTCTCTGGCGTGTGATATGTGAGTCTTTACATGTGGGTCTTTCTCCCAGGTATCCCTATCATGTACCCCAAACTACGAAAATGTTGACTTGGGGATCCCAAAATCGAGACTCTAAACCCTAAACCCCAAACCCAAGGCCCAAAATCCATATAGTTACCCCTAATTTCTGGAACCCTTATCTATAGCCCCCTAGGGAACATTTGTTTATTTGTATTTGCATGGGCTTTAAATCGCAAGGGCATCTGAAAAAGAGTAGTTTTATTCAGGCTCAAGGGGGAGCAGAATTATTTCGTTCGGCTCCCCGAGTGCAACCCTTTCGCTCCCAGGCAGCGTCTCTTCAGAAGAAGACGAGCGGCTTCATTCTGTCAGAGAGTTCGAAAAGAGGACCCGGGCATGAGCCGTTGCGCATTTTGGGGGTTTAGGGCTTAGGGCTTAGGGTTTAGGGTTTAGGGTTTAGGGCTTAGGGCTTAGGGTTTAGGGTTTAGGGTTAGGGTTTGAGGGTTTGAGGAGACAAGTTGGGCATTTTGGGGCCTAGGGCTTTAGGGTTGGGATGCTCCCCCTTATACTAAGAGTCCTTCATTGGGAGTATAGTAGGGGGTCCTTTCATCCCTTTTAAGGACTCCTAGCATAAGGGGAACATCCCAAGTTTTTTGGGCTTTTCGAGTAGACAGATCCAGCATGTGGGCTCTTATCAGCAAGATGCTTCTTGTTTCCAAGCCTTGCTGTCAAGGGATTTAAGCCTCGCACCCCTTAAGGTTGTAGCTCTAATGGTTTTCCTTAAGGTACTCCTAGCATGGCCCTCATACTACCTTAAGGATCTTTAAAAAGGGGTCCCCACAACCCAAGGGTACAACCTTACGGGTCCAAGGTAAACCCCCTAGAGGGCCGTGCTGCTGATACACAAGGGAAGCTCACGAGACACTATGGAAAGGCCACGCGCAAGGATGCTCTTTCTCTCCATAAACCCTAAACCCCAAGTCCTAAACCCTAAACCCCAAAACCCTTAACCCCTAAACCCCTAAACCGTCTAAACCCCCAAACCCCTTAACCCCTTAACCCCTACTAAACCCCTAAACCCCTAAACCCTAAACCCCTAAACCCCTAAACCCCTAAACCCCCAAACCCCTAAACCCCTAAACCCTAAACCCTAATCCGGGAGCCTGCATGAAGAGGACTTCAGCCCTCGAGAATGTCCTGGTAGCCGTCGAAAGCAGCCACAGGCCGCGTGTCAGGTAGGGTTTAGGGTTTAGGGTTTCGGGTTTAGGGTTTAGGGTTTAGGGGTTAGGGTTAAGAGTTTAGGGTTTAGGGTTTAGGGTTTAGGGTTTAGGCGGCTGACTGTTCTTGGTGCGTGTACACATGGCTCCTTTAGGAATATTGGCGAGTGTGTATATCGAATGTTTTGTTTGGGGATAAACACTACATCATGTCACGTTTCCAACACTGTGGGCTGCCTGTTTTAGCTTGCGCTCCCATACCCGTACAAAGGTTTGTTGAGCGTGTTTCGGGAGCTTGTTTGGTGGGTCCGTGGTGGGGTTGCTGGGGAGAGGGGGGGGTCGGGTGGGGGGAGGGGTGAGGGGGGGGGTGGGTTGGGGGGAGGCCAGACCCTGAAGCCCAGAACCTTTAAGTATGTTGTACAAAGAAGCTAAATCGCTGTAAGTGCCAGTGTTTTGGGCATGGTCGCTAATTTGCATGGGCGCTACTACCCTCCCACCCCCCCAAACAAAGAAACACACAGAAACAACGAAAGAAAGAAGCAAACAAAGACATAATATATATATATATATGGGTGGTTGTCAAAATTATGGTCCCTTTTGGGGTACCCTAAATATTCGGTGCCGCATTATAATAGGGATCCAAAAAGGGACCCTAATTTTGACAGCCGCCCATAGATATATATATATATATATATATATGTACACAAAGATTGACACAAAACAAGACATGACACAATCAAAACAAAGACCCGAACAACGAAGTACTCAACAAAAGAAATAGACATAAAGAACGCCAATAATGTTCACAGTGAGCAAGTACTAAGCAGAACGCTCTTTTTTTTTCAGTGTTTTTCCTTTGTACAATTTGCTGTAGACCAACACAGCACCCCAAACGACTTACACCCAAGCACGGGCGTTGCCCTAAAGCCTTAACAAACAACGCGTACGGATTCAAGGGTGGTGGGCTGTTTTCGGGCGGGATCCGATAGCGAGGATACTTTGCGCGTTGGAGTGCAAGAAGGGCAACTGCCCCTACTTTTGGAAATGCCCATCTTTGTTTGGATCTGTTGCTTTCTTTGCAGGGCTGGCAAAGGAATGCCTGCCACCTGATGGGCAAGATGTGCTTGATAAACGCGCTGATCTGATCGAACCCGTTGATGCGAGATCTCAACCCCTGAACACGGAACCCTACGATTCCTAAAGTGAACCCAAAACCCAAAACCCTCGAACCCAGAGTGTGTGAAGGCTGAGACGTTGGTTCACCCGCATACCCTGTGGGTCCAGGCCAGTGACGGGCAATGCATACCTGAAGTTTCTGGGTTAGACAAAGGGGGGTAGAGAAGACTTCCCGAGGAGGTACTGCATGGGAGCCTTTCGGTAGAGCTTGTAATTCAGTAGCGCCATGCTAGCTCATCACGGAAGATGCAGCGCTTGCTGTCAATCTGAGATTCTGCCTGCATCTTCCGGCAGGTTTTTGCAGCATACCATAGCGTGGATGCATTGGCTCGCCAGCTCTTGGATGCATTTGGTAAGGTTTAAAAACCCTAAGCCCTAAACCCTACACCCCTAAAAGGCTTTGAAGTCTATTCCGCATGCTGATTGCCGAGTTCTCATGCCACATCAGCACTTTCGCAGAGCTCTGCTTGGTTGTTACCCTGCAAACCCTGAACCCTCACCCTAATCTTGGTAAACCCTAAACCCTAAACCCAAAACCCAAAACCCTAAACCCTAAACCCTAAACCCTAAACCCTAAACCTCAACATCTTCCGAGGCCTGCACGAGCCTGTGCCAGCCTGAGCGCTTCAGCACTCCGCTAGAGTTTCGACAGTCGCATGGGGCTTAGGGTTTGGGGTTTAGGGTTTAGGGTTCAGGGTTTAGGGTTTAGGGTTTAGGGTTTAAGGGTTTAAGGGTTTAAGGGTTTAAGGGTTTCAGGGTTTAGGGTTGAGGGTTGTGGCTCGCTGACTACACAGGAAAGACGCGGCTGCTGTCACGCCATCCTCAACAGCAGCCTTTTCTGCACCTTGTCAGCATGTGGTTTGTGCACTTCAGTGCGAATCGTGCAGGAAGGTGTAGATACTTCAATTGTTGAATCTCCTTTACTGTAGGACCCTAAACCCGAAACCCTAAACCCTACAGCCTAAACCCGAACAGTTGAGACTAAACCGCCCTCTTCACGTCGAACCTTCGTTTGTGGGTGGAGGACCTTGATTTATCTATAACCCCCTTGGGAGTTTTTTTGTTTACATAAAACCCAAGAGGATATTAAAAGTTTTTTTTTTTTTTATGAAGGTTCTAAGGGGAGTATAGTTATAAGAAGCGAGCCTGTTTGTAGAGCGGGCCAAAGAAGATTGTCCGACTGGACACAAAAACAACAGAAGCTGGGCGCCAGCGAACTCCTCAACACTACTACTTGCTTAGAAACCCCGCAAAAACTAAAAACATATTCTTACTTATTAAAGGTCATATAGGGATTATGTTTTTTTAAAGGGTTCTGAAGCAAATAGTAGAACAGGCTGCAAATTTTGCAGAAAAGCTGGACACACGCCAAGATCCTTCGGTCAATTTCTTGACTTGCAGCTCTTGACCTTGCCTACTTCTAAGGAACTTAGGGTTTAGGGCTTAGGGTTTAGGGTTTAGGGTTTAGGGTTTATAGGGCTTAGGGAACACTGTGGGCCCCTCCAACGCATGACGCCTTTCTAGCCTAGATGTTGCATACAGCGATGCCCGATCGGAATGCAACATCCTTGAAGACTGAGCATATCAATGCGACGCAATCGTGTCTAATACCGCTGCTCTCACAAGAAGCTGCACAAGATGTAGGCTGGCTGTGGTAGGACTACCGCAGCACCACGTTCACTGCTGCACCGGCGGTTGTCTAACTTGTGCCGGCCGTTTCGTTCCCCGAAATACGTGGGCCCTCATTGTGACAGGCACCCTGGGGCCCTAAACCCTAAACCTTTTCAACCCTAAAACCCTAAACCCTAAACCTTATAAGCCCTAAAACCCCAAAGCCTAAACCTTATAAACCCTACACCCTACAGTGATTGGGGAACTTGCCCTAAACCCCAAACCCTAAACCAGATATGCTGACAGGCTCCTTCTGCACCTTGGTCATCCTTGCGAGTCTTGGCTGGGAGGGGAGTGCCCGCGGCAGGTTTGCGAAATGATACTGCAGAGCAGTTTAGGGTTTCGGGTTTAGGGTTTAGGGTTTAGTGTTTAGGGTTTAGGGTTTAGGGTTTAGGGATCCTAGAAGCATGTATTGTGTGCTTTCCAAGGAATGTCCTCGTCATCTTGTACACTGCAAACTGGACCATGGAGAATGAGACTTTCCAGGTTCCATACGCACCAGAAGCTGCAGTAAGGCTTTGAGTTCAGAGTTTGTTCAGGGTTTAGGGTTTAGGGTTTAAGGTTTAGGGTTTAGTGTTTAGGGTTTAGGGGCTTGGAGTTCAGAGTTTAAAGTTCAGGGTTCCGGGAAGCTGCAGCAAGCTCGAGAGTCAGAATGATACGGCCATGGTAATTGGCTCCAGGCACTATCATTAGTTGCTCCCGTGGGGTTAGGGTTGATTTGGTGGTTGTTCAATACTAAGTCCCCACATAGCTCGTGGATAACGCAGGTTTGTCGTCTGTGGTTGCATTGTTTCATGAGTACCAGGATGGGCTATTAGGCCCCATAACCCCCATAAACAGCCCTATAAAGGCCCTTGTTTAAGGGTTATAGGGTCTAATAGCCCATCCTGGTATGGGCAGTTCTCTAGATTAACTGGGACCCATACTGGTATATACAGCCCATCTGTACCAAAAAAACCGTGGTCTGTCGGAGAGTAAACCCTAAACCCTAAACCCTAAACCCGAAACCCGAAACCCTAAACCCTAAACCCTAAACCCTAAACATAAACTCTGCAGCTGCAGAATGCTGAGGTCGTGTCGGCCCTCGACATATTTTTTTGAGCCTTGGCTGCGCATGGCTCACGCGAGCCAATCGGACGTTTTGTCAGATACCTATATAGGCTCCCATGTAGTACCTTTTTTGGAGTAGTCCTCCAAACCCGAAAACCTATACCCGAACCTAAACCCTAAACCCGAAACCGGAAACCCTAAGCCCTACTCTCTCCTCTGACTCGCCCGGAAGGGAACTACATCACAGCCTGCAGGTATTGCATGACCCCAGAGCACCCTCAGCAGCACACCGGCCTAAGAGGGAAACTTTGAGGAGATGGAAGGGCTTAGGGTTTAGGGGTTAGGGTCAAGGGTTTAGGGTTTAGGGCAATGGGTCTATGGGCCCTGTGTGACGAGGTAGTGTCTACCTCATGGAGACTCTGCTGAAGATCCGTGTCCACAAAGCCTACTTCTTCTGGAACGAGGATCCCGCCGGCTATTCCTGAAGACCCTAGCAACTCGAGTTGATGTAAACCCAAGACTTGGGTTTACTAGTACCCTACTAACGCTAAACCCCAAAAAGCCTAAAACCAAATATCCCCAAGTTGCACTGGCTTGCCCTGCACTTGAACCAGACGTTCGACCAAGAAGTCTTTTTTCACCTCGGCAGACCTCGAAACCATGTCCCTTTGTGGGGGGGGGGGGGGGGGGGGGTGCCTAAACCCTAAACCCTGAGCCCTAAACCCTGGGCGTAGGACCAAAGCCCTCAATCCTCAGCCGGGGCCGTATTACGGCAGAGTTTAGGATTTAGGGCCCCAAAACGTGTCCCGAACTCAGCCAAGCAACTGTCAGAGGGTTTAAGGGTTTAGGGTTACAAGCATGCGCGTGCGGCGCGCGCACATTGGGGGAAGGCTTCAACCTATGTCTCTGTGATGCGACTTTACACGGGGTGATGTGACTTCGCTCGCAGCCGCGTGTCACTGGGGAGATGTGACTTCACACGCGAAGATGTGAGTTAACCTACCCGCTTGTAGGGTTTAGGGTTTAGGGTTTAGGGTTCAGGGTTCAGGGTTTAGGGTTTAGGGTTTAGGGTTTAGGGTTTAGGCTTAGGGTTTAGGGTTTAGGGTTTAGGGTTTAGGGTTTAGGGTTTAGGGTTTAGGGTTTAGGGTTTAGGGTTTAGGCCAACTGTCACGATCGTAGCCGAAGAAAGCGGTCGCAGAGGGAACGTGACGCTTCTCGTTTGGCAGGAGGCTCCCTGGAATGTTTTCGACTTGATACTGGTGATACTGGCAGTGTACGACCTGGTGGTCTTCTTCTTGGAGCCTCTTGGATTGGATCATGTGGGCTGACCGTCAGCTCCTAACCCAGAAGGGACCGCGGCTTAGGGGAATCCTAAAGCCCTAAACCCTGAGTCTACCAGGGCACACCCTTCTAAACCCTAGACCCTAAGCCCTAAACCCCACACCCCAAACCCTAAACCCTAAATCCTCATGCGATTTCAGGATCTCGGATGGGCATTCTGCCAACATGAACTTCATGAGGCGGGCCACAGGGGACTGGAAGATGTCGACGTACCTCAGGTTCACTGTTGTTTTGGACATTCTCGGGGTTTAGGGCGGGAAGTAAGGTTTAGGGTTTAGGGCAGCAAGAGGGGGTTTTTGGGGTGTCTGATTCAAAACAAAACCTCTTTAAGCTCGCCCCGCTGGCCGTTGCCTGGATCAGGTCCTTGAGAATTGTCAAGGTCTCGCGCATCCTCAGGCCAGCACCACGTGCTTTTGGGGGGTTTAGGGTTTAGGGTTTAGGGCTTAGGGTTTAGGGTTTAGGGTTTAGGGTTTAGGGTTTAGGACCCCCAACATCGATCCCCAAAGACTAGGATTCCGTTTTAGTCAGGACCCCAATCAGGTGCCCCTCATTTCGGAAACCCCCCCCCCCCCCTCCTCCGTTTGAGCGTCAACGATCGATAGACCTGAGGATCCTGCAGGTGAGGGTTTAGGGTGTAGGGCTTAGGTCTTAGGGTTTAGGCGTGATGTCTAGAGAGGTGAGTGCCCGCACAAGCAGCCACGGAAGGCTTGTCCGGGTCATCCGGGTCTTCCGAGATCTGCGCTGCATGCTGTTCTCCATCATCTGGTCTTTCAGCTCACTCTTCTGGCAGCTCGGCCAAAACAATGGAGTCAGAAGGCAAGGCGCCACAATCAATCTACATCGTGTCACCGTCGGCTCCAGTTCTTCTGTAGGCATGTCCCCAAGCCCTGAACCATAACCCTGAAACCCCTTACTAAACCCTCGACCTTCAACCTTCAACCCTCAACCCTCAACCCTCAACCCTCAACCCTAAACCCTGAACCCTGAACCCTGAACCCTGAACCCTGAACCCTGAACCCTGAACCCTGAACCCTAAACCCTAAACCCTAAACCCTAAACCCTACCCCGCCCCCCCCCCCCCCCCCCGGCGGAAGCCCTGCTGCAAAAGGTGTTTGGTGCTCATCTTCTTCGTCATCCTCGTATTTTCGCTGCTCATCGTTCAGCTCCTTGGTTCTGATTGTTTTTGGGGCTTGGGGTTTGGGGTTTAGGGTTGAACCCTAAACCCTAAACCCTAAACCCTAAACCCGGGTTTCTTTTGGGGATTTTTGGGGCGGCTCTTCTGGCGCCTTGCTCGCCACTGGGATGGGTAAGAGCACGGCGCTGTACGGACCCTGTTTGGGGCTTCGGTTTTTGTTTGGGGTTTAGGGTTCAGGGTTTAGGGTTTAGGGTTTAGGGTCTTTTGGCTTTTAGGTTTTTTTGGCTTTTTTAGGGCTTTAGGGTTTTTGTAGGGGTTAGGGCTTAGGGTTTAGGGTTTAGGCTTTGGTTTTTTTGGGGTGTAGGGCTGTTTTAGGGCTTCGTTAGGGCTTTCGGGCTTCAGGGTTTGAGGGTTTTGGTTTAGGGTTTAGGGTTTAGGGGACACTTGCCACCTCATGCCCGCACTTCACCCGCGCAAATGTCTTGGTCAGTCGAGAACATGCGAAGCCAAAAGGTTGGTCACCGAGTACATCATTGAGCAGGCCTGGCTCAGGGTTTTAAAGGGTTTAGGGTGGCATGACTTGGGCGTGTCTGAACATGAGGTAGGGGTACACTGTACAGTTTGGGGGGGGGGGGGGGGGGGGAGGTTCCGAATAAGGCTTCTAGCATGTTGGAGTGTACTAACGGCCCCCCTATTTTGGGAAAGGCCCGCCCCGAAACCCTAAACCCTAAACCCTAAACCCTAAACCCTAAACCCTAAACCCTAAACCCCAAACCCCAAACCCTAAACCCTAAACCCTAAACCCTAAACCTGTCTGCCACTGCCACTTAGTCATCCTCAAGCTCGGAAGCAGTGTACGGACCCTAGGCATTTGGATGGGTTCACCTTGGGACTGCCCTGAGGCCCATAGCTCTTAGGGTTTAGGGTTTAGGGTTTAGGGTTTAGGGTTCATCCGTTCCCCAACCTTAAGCTGTAAGAATGGTTCCGGGGTATGAGTTTAAGGTATGTGTCCTGAATGAAGGGGTGCTGGGCTCTTGCTGCTTCCCTGCCACAGCACCCTAAACCCGAAACCCTAAACCCTAAACCCTAAACCTTGAACCCTGAACCCTGAACCCTAAACCTGGAAGGATGTGGCCGACAATGACCCCATCAAGGATGGCTTCCTCTACTACTTCGGCTCAGCCCCTTGGATTTCCAGATGCGCATGTCAAGACCTGCACCTGCACTCAACCCGCCTAGCATGTGTTCCATGTGAAATCACAATCTCTCTAGAATTGTTTATCTGTTTCTGTCTATGCATATATATATATGGATATATTATTATATACATATTCTAGAATATACTCTATACAGTGTATATTCTAGTATATGTTCTCGGTAACACATAGCACACCGCATTGGCTGCCACTTCAGAGCCCAGCGCTCGCAGGTGCAGGCGACGATGGCGACTCTGTACCAGCCGCGGAGCTCAATATCAGCCCAAAGTTGCCCTTTGCTTCCAGGGACCTAATAGGTTAGGGTTTAGGGTTTAGGGTTTAGGGTTTAGGGTTTAGGGTTTAGGGTTTAGGGTTTAGGGTTTAGGGTTTAGGGCTCAGGGTTCAGGGTTTAGGGTTTAGGGCTAGAGCCAACAATCAGCCTTCCGGGAAGGACGGGAAGCAATGGGAGAAGGGATCCCGCAGCAGCAGAGGTTCACTGGGTAGCCCTTTGGGATGTTTTATGTTTTTCCCCTTCTTGGGTTTAAGAGGATCACATGTACGAACATGATTCAGAGGGGTTAAAACGCCCCACCCCCCCTAGACCAACTTGCACCGCCCTGAGGGCGAGTACCGGTGGCGTGGACTGGAGAAACCCCTACGAGCTGCTAGCCGCTTGGAGCCAACACGTTGCCCCGGAGAGCCCCAATGCTTCGTAAGGAAGCTGTGTACCTTAGCTGGGTTTGGGGTTTCGGGCTTCGGCCCCCTACTACGCAGAAGGTCTAAACCCCAAAACCCTAAACCCTAAACCCTAAACCCTAAATGAGGGGAATTGGGCTCTCGGGGACTCTGGGGTGGGCGGTTGCCTCGAAGGCGTTGCCTCTGCTGCCCCGGCCAGGCTTACACCGGCGAGATGAGCTGCATGGCCTTCCTGTTCTACGTGTCTTACCGTTCGTGTTGCCAGGGGGGGGGGGGGGTGGAGGGGTAGCCCTAAACCCCAAACCCTAAAACCCTAAACCCCTAAACCCTTAGGGGGCACCCCGACTTGAGAAAGCAAAAAACAAAAACCACCTTTAGGGTACACGATCTTGGAGGTGCCAGTTTGGATTCCTTGACCTTGTTATTGGAAACATGACTAATTATTGTTTATATGATTAATGTTCTTAATCTAGTTTATATGATTATTATGTTTAGTATGATCGATATGATTCATATGATTAATATGATTAATATGATGAATATGATTAATATGATTAATATGATTAATATGATTCATACGATTAATATGATTAATATGATTAATATGATTAACATGGTTAACATGATTAATATTATTGATAATATTGATACTCTTCATATTACTAGTTCCTAATCGGCGATCTTAGAGGCAGAGCGTGGGCAGAATGTGCCCGTTTAGTAAATTGGACGGGGGCACAGACGTGCCCAGGCAAGGAATCTGATGCATGCTCTGCCAAATTTGCCGTCTTGTCTGCTTAATTTCTCACTTACCCTCTGTCTTAGCAGGGCCGATAGGTTCAGACAGGCTCACTGACTCATTTCTCTCGGGGTGCTCCTCCGGCTTCAAGATCGCATGCGACGCCAGGTGGCCTTCTTCGAGTTCGCGGTTTTCAACGTCCTGACTGGCGCAGCTTGGCCAAACGTGCATGATTCAGTCCGAAGTTCTGAGCACTTAGAGAAACAGAACCCGAACTTCGATCCTCACATATTTCCCGCACTCCTTGCCAGAAAGGCGCGAACCCCAACGCAAGAGTCTGCAAATGGTACCGCCTCGAACCTCGATCGAACCAAACGACAGCAGAGCCAGAAACGCGGTGAAACCCCTCAACCCTTCCACCAGAGCAATCGCAGATGGTGTAGACGTCAGGTCGTGCAAAGAATCTAAAGTGCAGCTCATGCGCGTGGCTTCTTGAGAAGCTCCTTGTAGAGGAGGTCTGTATCGACTCCTGGAGTGCCCCATATCTTAAACAGGCTGGTGGTCTCTTTATTTGGGGTTTCTGCTTGAAAAGGGGGTAGATATAGGGATCCTTATTATGGTTGTGTACGGGCTATATTGGGTAGTTTATGGCACAGATAAGGAGACCACCAGCCTGTTTCACTCACATCCCTGAATGAAGGAATAGACCTTCAACTCTACTTATCGGGGTTCTGACTTGTTGTGTCAAGGTACAGATACTTCTCATGCATGCATTTTATATATATATATATGTATACACGTGTCTACGGATGTCGCATGTCGGTTTCTATAGCCCCCGAGTTAAGGGTGTGGGATAATGCCAGCTAATCAGTGCCAGCTCCTTGCCATGGTTGCAGTCGTGCTAGTAGGCGCTCTCCCTGCCAAGTATGCGATCTTTGCTGTGTTGGGACGGAAAGAAAACCTTGCAGTGTAGATTCCTGACATCTCGGGACCAAGGGGCTTTGGGGTATAGGGTTTAGGGTTTAGGGTTTAGGGTTAGGAATGAGGGTACTTCAACCAGCGACAGCCCTCCTAGCCCAGGTGTTCGTGGACCATGCGATGAAGGTGCCCAGCGCAGGGGCATCTCTCGTTTTGGAGACCGCATAGACAGAGCCTGGGGTGAATCACCCTTATCCCTAAACCCTAAACCCCAACTGCCTGTGCGCCACCTGTGGCGACTCTTTGAGGTGTCTGCGGCTGATCGGGAGCTGGCATTAGCCGAGCAGAAAAAGAAGGAGAGGACGGAGGCGGAAGGGCTCATGGGGGGTTTAGGGTTTAGGGTTTAGGGTTTAGGGTTTAGGGTTAGCAGTGCCACGATACAACACTCCATGCATCCTGGGATGTAGGACGAAGAGTGGCAGAGTCTTGAGGATGCATTGGGCTTAGGGCTTAGGGTGTATCTTTATCGGGATCAGAGCCAAGCCCGAAACCCCCAAGCCCTATAAAGCCCTAAACCCTAAAACCTAAGACCCTAAACCCTAAACTCTAACCCTAAACCCTAAACCCTAAACCCTAAACCCTGAACCCTGAACCCTGAACCCTGAACCCTGAACCCTGAACCCTGAACCCTGAACCCTGAACCCTAAACCCTAAACCCTAAACCCTATCCGCCCCCCCCCCCCGCCCCAAACCCCTCCCAAGAGTGGGGTCAGGCTGAACGCCTCCGGGACACCTGCCGTATCATTGACGCGGACGGGGATGGCAAGGTGGGCTTACGGGCGTTGACTGGTCGTTGCTGGTATAAGGCGTTTAGGGTTCAGGGGTCAGGGTTTAAAATTAGGGTTTAGGAACCCTTCAAACAACAAACAAACCATATCAAGGTGGCTTAGGCTCCTTCAACAGCCATGAAGGGACGCTGTGGGGTGGATGGCACATGGCCAGCAGTTTTCGCCGATGTATCGGTCGGTCGTGGGAAGGAAGGGTTTAGGGTTTAGGGCTTCGGGCTTAGGGTTTAGAGCTTAAGGTTAGGGTTTTGGGTTTTGGGTTTTAGGTTTTGGGTTTTCGGTTTTGGGTTTTGGGTTTTGGGTTTTGCGTTTTGGGTTTTGGGTTTGGGTTTTGGGTTTTGGGTTTTGGGTTTTGGGTTTTGGGTTTTGGGTTTTGGGTTTTGGGTTTTGGGTTTTGGGTTTTGGGTTTTGGTTTGGGGTTTAGGGTTTAGGTTTAGGGTTTAGGGCTCAGGGTTCAGGGTTTAGGGTTTAGGGTTTAGGGGCCTCGCTGCATCTACTAAAAGCACTGTTGCCATTCCCTACGAGCCTAAATACCTAAATTCCCGTAAGCCCTATAAACCCTCTACACCCTAAAGCCTAAGAACCCTGAGCAATCCTAAATACCCAAATACCCCTAAACCCCGAAGCCCTATAAACCCTCCAAACCCCCCAAAACCCTAAAGAACCCTAAGCAATAAGACCATGTCTCCGCCGGCATTTGCAACCACCTCCTAAACCCTAAACCCTAAACCCTAAACCCTAAACCCTAAACCCTAAACCCTAAACCCTAAACCCCCCAAACCCTAAACCCTAAACCCCAAACTCTGACCCTGCAGATCTCCTGGGTGGAATTCCATGACTTCCTGCAGTTCGTGGGGCACTCAGTCCTCGTAGCCCAGTGGTACCCTTTACCTTTTTTTGGTTATGGGTTCCCTTATAAAAAAAATCCTAGCCAAAAAAGAGTGCCCTTATTGTAATGTGGTTATTGGGCTACCTTAAGCCGTTCATTAGGGTTTAGGGTTTAGGGTTTAAGGTTTAGGGTTTAGCGTTCAGTCTCATGCCCCAGGCAGTCTTGAGTCTTTAGGGCCATCACGTGTGATGTCGAGGCACCCTAAACCCTAAACCCTAACTAAACCCTAAACCCTAAACCCTAAACCCTAACTAAACCCTAAACCCTAAACCCTAAACCCTAAACCCTATGCGGAGCTGCAGTTGGTATTGTAGAAAGGAGTTGGTGTTGAAAGTTGAAGGGTCAATGTACCTGGTAATCTTCATGGCTCAAGACCGGGCCATGCGCCTGGTAGCAAAAAGAAGTTTCGAGTTCCTGGTGTTTGCTGGTTGGTTCAGGGTGAAATCTCTGGCGACTGTTAGGGTTGGTTTCCTTCCCCTTTCGGTTGCCCCCCGTAGGTTATGAGCCCAAATTAGGTTCCCTGCGGTCTGTGTTTCGGCTTTAGGGTGATAGTTTGAAGCCATGGCTACCAACTGGTTACAGACTGGTACGGCATCTTCGAGCTCCAATGTGGGCGATCAAGGTGAAGGTGGTGTCAAAAGGTCTGCAACGGGTGAAAAAGTTGTTCCCAATGTGGAAGCTCTGGTTGATGTTGGTGGTATGCGTGGCGGAGAGAAGCCGGTGGTGGAAGGACTGGAAGACCAGATGGAAGCAGTTTTGCTGCGCCTTCTGAGCAAACATGGGCTTTGTCTTCGAGCTGCGGGACCTGCTGAATCAACGGGAGCGCCAACAACAAGCTCCTCTACGTCAAAGATGGTGGAGCAAGGGTGCCAGACAGAGCTGGTTGGGGATGTTATCCCTGTTTCCAAGCGAGCTCGCAACAAAGTGAGCTTCGCGGCTGAAAGTGGTGATCTGTTGACAGGTGAAGCGGAAGAAACTGCGCCTGTTGCTGCGACAAAAAGCAGTATCCTCGTCGCTGGGGACGCAGAAGGAGTTGTTCCTGTTGCTACGGTGATGAGTGAAGAAGAAATCCTGGAATTGGAGGCAGCGAGAATACAGCAGGAGTCAGATGAAGACTTATACGCTGATGGTGGAGGCAAATTGTCTCAAGCTGCTGACCTTCCAATCATCGACTGTGATGGGAAGACATGGGAACGCCATTTTCACGAGGATGGGAGAGAATATCTTTACTGCTTAGACACGGGAGATACCCAATGGGTGTTGCCTAAGAAGACTGGGATGGCTGGAAACAGTGAAGGGTCTGGTGTTGGAATGGGCATTGTCCCTGTGGAAGAAGAGCCAGCACTGGGTACTACTTCGTCCTCGTCGCCTACTGAGTCTTTCAGGGCACAACAGGGTAGCTTGGAAAGTGTCAACAGCGGTGTAAATAGTGTAGGTGAAAAGGATTTTTCCTCTACTATCAGGGATAGCGGTCTTAGGGCTGGTGGTGACGCCCCGACCTCGGGTTCTCCTGATGAGGAAGGGATTTCTGGAACCCGAGCAGACATCGCTGGAGAACATCTGGATCGGGAAGAAATGGAAGCGCTTTCTGAGGGTGTGGCAGCGGTGGAATCGGTGGGTCCAGAAGAAAAAATGCCCAACGCGGAGATTGGAACTGTGTCGGCTGCAGAAGAGCGAGTGGTGGATGTGGTACCTGTCGTTCAGGAAGGTGATCCTGGAGATTTGGAAGACGGAGGGAAAAAGTTGTGCGTTACGACTGAGGAGGTCTCTTCGTTTGGTGCCAAGAATCTTGCCATTCAAGGGAAAAAAGAAGCTTCTGGAATAGCTGGAGACACGGGCGATCTGAAAGATGAGGCCTGGAGCGCCAATGATGCGCGGGTCAATGTGCCAGATAGTACCTGGAGTGCGAAGGAAGCACGGGTTGAGGCGCATATGGTGTGGGCGCAGGTCTCCGTAGCAGCTGACGACGGAGGTTCACAGGTGGACGCACTGGTGCAACCTGAAGTTAGCAGCGAGGAACGAAATAGCAAGGGCTACACCGGAGCCAATGTGGCAGCTGTGGTCAATGATGGTGGCAATTCTCTTTTGGAAACCATGGAGCCAAAGGAGCCTGCGGTGGAAGAAAATGTACCTGCCGCGGATGAGCAATCCAATAGCCCTGCAGTGGAAGAAAATTTGCCTGCTGCAGAAGGTGTGACAAAAGACTCCAATGATGGGTCCACTCCCACGAAGGGGGAAGTATTGCCGTCTGAAAGCTCGCCGGAAGTCGACACCGAGCGAACTGCAACAGATGAGGCAAAGCCATTGGCTGGAAAAAAGGAAGGTCCTGAGCCCCTGGAGCACAAGGTGGATGATCTTGTGGGACTCGTGCAGGAGCGGGACGAGCAGCTTGACCCAAAGGTGGAAACAAAGGATGTTCCAGGAGCCGGTGATACAGAGATGGTTTCTGAAGAGCATGCAAAGAAAGGGCCCAATGGGGGAGCCTTGGTGACACCTGGGGAGCATTGTTATCAAGCTGGAGATTGGATCACTGCTCTGGTGCGTTGTATCAATGGGCATGGAGCCTTTTTGGAGCACGGTGATCTGAATGTGCTGATTCCTGATGAAGGGAAGAATACACCCTCTTTCAAAATTGGTGACACTGTCAGTACGACAGTGAGGAGGGTGGATGATGATGGCACTGTGATTTTAGATTCCTGCCTAGTTTTTGAAGAGGACGATGAGGACTCTTCTCCAGCGCAGCGCAAATGGAAAGTCGGCGGCTGGGATGCGTGGTGGGGAAATTCATGGTGTGATGGTCAATGGTACCAAGATTCCAACGGTCAATGGGACTGGAAATGGGAGGAAGAGCAATCCGATGAATGGTTTGCTGATCAGGTGTTATCCTCAGAAGAACAAGAGGAAAGGCAACTCTATGGAGAAAAGATCTATAGAGCTCTTCTGGAGGATGGAAAGGCTGATAAGGCCTATGTGGGCAAAATCACTGGGGTGCTGTTGGGTCGTACAATGGATGAGATACTGGAGTGTGTTGCAGACCATGCATTCCTGGATGCGGAAGCTCGGCGTGCGTATGGCATCTTGCAAAGTGATGGTTGGAAGCCCGATGGTGCAGAAGGCGCAGGCTTGGGAAAGACAACCGCCTTTTCCCGAAAGCAGTACCACAACGCGCTCTACGAACTGGCATGTAGGAAAAGGAGATTTAGTCGACCAGTTGTGGGTGAAGCGGTGGCAACGTTGCTGAGTCAAGGCAAAGATGAACTTTGGAACGCGCTTTGGCTGGACACCAAGCGGTTTTTGCAGGAGCTTGATGGTGCAGTTGAATCCATGAGTAAAAGAGAAAACAAGCCAATGGAAGCCTACATGGATCCCGATCAGTATAAGAAAGCTCACCTGACGCCAAAAACTGTGTCGCCAGGGTACAGTAAACTGTGCAAGTTTTTCAATCAGGGAAGGTGTCGCAATGGAGATGAGTGTTCCTATGAACATCGTCGTTATGGTGAAGGTTGGCCAGGAGGAGGACCAACTGAGCCAAAGAACAGCCAAAAAGCTGGAGACGAGGATAGGGACATTGGTGGCCCTCCTACGGAAGAAGGCACAGTGGATGAGGCACAGCAGGAGCGAGAGGATTCAGCTTTCAGAGCCAAGTACAACTTTGGTAAAGGTGCATCAAAGGGTGAGTCGGTGTCAGTCGAGCCAAAGAGGCAAATGTGTCTGTATTACAACCAAGGAGGTTGTAAATATGGAAATTCCTGCAGATATTCGCACGATGAAAAAGCGGTTTTGGAAGGGTCTTGGGAATCCGGCAGATCCTGGGACAATGCGTCTCGGAAGGCCCTAAGGGAAGCAGGGTTCCATCATTGCTGCTTCGACTACTACATCAAAGGGAGATGTCGCGTGCGATATGGTTGCAAGTATTCTCACGAAGAAATGTCTGAAGAACGACTGGCCCAGTTGAAGCATCTGGTGAATGTGGCGAACCATGTTTCGTTTCAAAGAGGAAGAGGATTGGAGATTCCCGACAGGAACACCTTTCAACCACCGGTAAGTGGGGGAGCAGAATCTTCGTCATCCTCGGCACCAAAGGCGCTGCAAATGACCAATGTGTCACAGAAAACAGGTGAGGGTGATACACTGGATGGAACAGATGGAGAGGTACAAAAGGATTCGGTGGCGGAGTCTACCGCGGTACGTCTTCAGAATCCTGAAGAGCCAATAG